CTTGGGGCATAATTTTTTATTGATAGTTGTCCCTCTTAGACAGCCATGTTGAATCGTACAAATATACTCATCAGTAAAAATACATGTCAGTACGAATTCAAAATTAGATAGGCACTGTAATCAAATCATTACAGAAATTGACATAATAAGCGGATCAAAAACATTTTTTGTGTACAATATCTTGACACATCAATAAATAACTCAGCACAATTTCAAGACATTACGTGAACGTTTGCAGTCCATTCAGACTCTTGACTTCAGTATCAAGTGTGACCACCACGAGCAGCAATAACTGCAGCACAGCGTCTCTGCATGGAGTGCACCAATCGATTGATGAAGGCACCTGGAACCACACTCTGAGAAAGGCCTGGGCTGTGTTCGGCCTTGGTATGACATTGTTCAGTCTCCTCTGAATTTCATCCCAAAGATGTTCAATTGGGTTTAATCAGGACTAAGGGCTGGACACTGCATAATGTTGGCACCGTTCTGCTGTAGGAAGTCCTGTGTAGCTCTGACAGTATGGGCCCGGGCGTTATCAAGCTGGAAAATGTTGTTCCGGTGACATGCAAAATGTGGTATGACGTGGGGTCTGAGAGCTTGGTCGATGTAGCGCACCGCTGTGATGCCGCCTCCTCTCCCTGGACCAAGGTTCTGGAACATCACAGGACCCACTCTCTGGTTCAGGCCTATTCCACCCCATACCGTGATGCTTGCACCTTCCCATGAGTCTCTTTCCATAACACATTAGTCTGAGTAACGCTGTCCACGTCATTGCCATATGCTTGTTCTGCCATCTGCAGTTGATAAGCAGTACCGACTCTCATCTGTGAACAGAACATTTCTCCATTGCCTGTATTGCCAGTTTTGGTGGTGTAGGGCAAACAGTAGACGTTCACGCCGATGACGAGGGGTGAGGATAGGTCCACGGTCAGGTCTAAGGCAGTGGAAGTTCCCGCTGTTAAGACGTTGGCGTACTGTATCAGTACTGATTGGTCTTCACCGTGTTCCCACTGTCTGGCGTGCTGTTTTGGATGCCTGCATGAAGGGATTCTGTACATGCACAACATGGCGGTCTTGTCTTCTTGTGGTCACCCTTGGTCTGCCAGTACAGGGGCGATCATTTGTGGCAATGGCGTGAGCAGTGTGGCCAGCTTCAAGTCTTCCTAGCGCGCCTGGTTCCTGTGAGCTGTCTTGAGTCGCGGCATCCTGCTGATGTTGTAATGTGAATGTTTCAACCAGGTTTGGGGATGCATTTTGTAGGGCTGGTCCTTGTGAACAGCATGTGCAGCATAAGTTGCATGAAAAACATGGAGAACACCGTACCATCTCCGAGGTCAGGTTGAGTTTTTGAGACCATTTCCTGGGTTCAGTTCTTAGTTTGGGAAGGAATGTCCTTGCTCAGGTAAAGTTGGGGATGTTTTCAAAAATATACAATCAAAACATGAAATGAGTTTACAGTTATCCGTTTCTGCAAAGGAAAATTCCAAACTGACGTTTCTTTTGCTGCTTAGTATATAACTGGCACAAGTCTATTGTTTACAGTGAAGTTGACTTCTTTGAGAAATGTACAGTTTAGTTTTAGACTTATAACTGTTAAAATACAAGATATATGGTCATGATGTAGTGGAGGTAGTGTTCTTTCAGTGTCAAATGGTTATCATTGTCACCTGCCGCAACGCGGAATGGGGACTACCGTATATTACCGTGTATAAGCTGACCACCAAACTTGACCCTTAAAATCAGTGTCAAAATGGTATGTTTCGTGCATAAGGCGACCCCCAGCGATGGTGTCCTAATTGCGGCAAACACAGACCACAGACAACTGGCGGTTACCAATAATTATAACTTTGGCCCACATTGTTAAAAATATTAACAATCATATTGCGTCTATTCACGCATTGAAATGAAGTGTAGTTGACAGAAAATGGATACTATATTTTGTTTTGCTAAATATCATACATATTGTAGTTACACGATAACATGTCAACAAACTGGCTTGCTTATTACTGCCTTGTTTTCCATGGACTGCTAGTTTACAGTAACATCGGTAAAATGTGTGAATTTAAATGGCTTGCTTATTTTACCCCTTTCCATGCTGCGTACAACTTACCACGTTCATGAGGGTCCATATAACCTTAGTGTTGATTATATATTTTACATTTATAGTGCAAAAACTGTAATTAAAATTAAACAGTGCTAGGATATATTTCTTTGGGTTAAATAATAGTACTCTGTATTATATTTTACTGATGACTGTGCCAGAATTCATCCCGTTATATTACTGTGCATGTTTGAACTTGCTCTCCGGGAAACGTGTGCACAGCTTATTGCCATTTCCGGCTCAAATACACATCGTAATCTTATTCTTAATTAATTTATAGAGCAAAAACTGTAATTAAAATTAAACAATGGTAGGATATATTTCTTGGGGTTAAATAATAGTATTCTGTATTATATTTTACTGATGACTGCACCAAAATTCATCCCGCTATATTATTGTGCATGTTTGAACTTGATCGCTGGGAAACATGTGCACAGCTGATTGTACGATAAATGTCATAATGACTAATATGTAATATGTTGAAATAATGAAAACGTACTTGTTAATATGTATTTTATTCATCATTCACAACATAAACGCTGTAATCGTGGCAAACATCCTGGCAGATGTACCGGTAACCTGTAACATCGTCATGGCAGGGCACTGGCGAGCTAAAAATTATTTCCGGGAAATTGTATCTCATAGATAAGACGACCCCCTTCTACAGACCTTTTTTTTGGTCCTCAAAAAGGAACAATTACAAGTATTGTTAATAATTGTTAGTAAACTTACCTCTGGATTATTGTTGACTTATTTCTGGGGTTACCCCAGACACATATCGAAAAAATGGAAAAGAAAAAACGTCATAATTCCCCTGGTAGTATGCCCTACCCCTTAAAGAGTTATCTCCCCCTTAAATCGTGACGTAAGAGCGCGCCTTTTATACCTCACAATTTTTATGAATAACAGACTCTTCTGCCATGATTAGCGGGGAGGACAAAAAAAGGGAGGGAACTAAACCCCATAATCCAGAGGTAAGTTTACTAACAATTACTAACAATACTTGTAATTGTTCCTAATTTAGGCGTAAACATTCCCTCTGGATTATGGTTGCCTGAATCACACATAAGGAAAGGAGGGAATGAGCAGAAGACTAATAGATAACTTAGGGCATATTTCCCGAATACTGAACAGTCCTTATATATATATGGATAGAAAATGGGAACTATGACAGAACTATCTGAATAAACCTGACACCAAGAAAAGGATCCAACTGTGAAGGATACCAATAAACCAAAAGCTAACGGGAGTCTATGACGTCACCTCTGGTCTAATGACCTCACTTCGGGATTTATGACGTCACCTCCCGGTTTAATGACGCCACTTCAGTTTAATGATGTCACTTCCGGTACCTAACGTCCTATTCTCCCTTTAGGTTAACATATCGGTGGGAAAACAATTAAAGATAGTGGTATACCAATCCACTGAATAACACGTGACTCAAAACTAGGTTAGAGAGACCATGATATAATTAAGACTCTCACCCCACAAAGTATCTTGAGTAGTGGAAGATCCCCATCCTTCACAGGCCAGACAGTATCCCACTGCATGCGGACTTCTTTGAGCAACACCGCCGCCGTCTTTCTAAGCCAGGATGCCAGAAGTGTTCTTAGAGATTTCAGTGTTCATATTAGTTTTGCAAGATAAAAATAGCCTGTGACGATTCCGTCTAAAACTGTGCGTACGTTGAATATACCATCGTAGCGCGCTAATTGGACAGAGAAGTCTAGGTCTGTCTGATCGAGACGATGTATCTGGAAGAGCCGGGATCTTGTACACTGTCTGACCTAAAGGTCCCGAAGCTGAAGACTGGTTTTGGGCAATAAATTCAGGAAGAGCTCTGCAGGTGATTTCCTTATATCCATCAGCAAACACGATTGAACGGAAGTCTAGAGCATATAGTTCAGACACTCTCGAAGCTGTAGCAAAGGCCAAAAGAAACGCTGTTTTGAAGGAGAGGAATTTTAGCGAAGCATTCTGAAGTGGTTCATATGGAGTCCTTTGTAATGATTTAAGCACTAAACAGAGGTCCCATTTTGGAAACATGGCAGGAGTAGACACATCTTTAATTTGAAAAGATCTGATAAGTCTATGCAGAGAATTATTAGATCCCACACCTAATCCCTGAATATCACACACCGACGCGATTGCGGACTTGTATCCTTCGATTGTGCCATGTCTAAGCTTCCTTTCCTTCCTAAGATAGAGTAAGAATTCAGCAAGTTGCGGAATAGTAATGGGAGTATCTAAGAGCTGATGCAGTCTTCTCCACTTGATGAATCGAGCCCATTTGGTATTGTACAGTGACGCTGTGGAAGATCTGATTTGTGATTGAGAGATAGCCACAGTGGTTTCTGTTGTAAAACCCTGCTGTTGAAGTGACTTGCGGATAACTTCCAAACTTGCAGTTGAAGTTACTGAATGTTCTTGTGATATCGGTTCGATTCCGATTAACTGATGAGATTGTGCCAATTTGGAAGTAACATTGGTGTGTCGATGAGGAGATCCAGTAGGGTCGGAAACCACGTCCTCGTGGCCCAAGCAGGAGCCACTAAATATATTACACAGTTGTGCTGATAGATCTTGCTGAGCACTTCCGGAATCAGCCTGAAGGGAGGAAAGGCATAAGCTATCATGTTGTCCCACGAGATTGAAAGAGCATCCACCGCCCAGGCTAGAGGATCTGGAACTGCACTGACGTAGACTGGAAGTTTGTTGTTGCGACGCGTGGCGAATAGGTCTATCATCGGAGTCTCCCAACATTGTGAGATCATCCTGAAAGCCTTGTCGTGTAAAGTCCTTTCGGTTGTAATTATCCCATCTTGCCTGGATAGAGAGTCTGCTAGAATATTGAACTTGCCCGGAATGTGACGTGCCCTGATTGAACATTTGGTCAAGTTCACAATTGCTTCTGAGTTGCACAAAGTAGCTGGTGAGATCTTGTTCCTCCCTGCTTGTTCACATAGCAGACTACGGTTGAGTTGTCTGTGGCCACCATAATTGCTTTGCTGTGGAGACACCAAGACCAATGTTCGAGTGCTCTGACTATGGCTAACATCTCGAGAACATTGATATGCAGACTCTTCTCCTGGTCTGACCAGATTCCTTGAAGTTGCAGATGACCCATATGTGCACCCCAGCCCAAGGTGGAAGCATCTGTGTACATCGTCAGGTCTGGAGGCGGAGGTCGAAAGGCTGCTCCTGACAGGATGTTGGCCTCGTTGGTCCACCAAAGTAGTTTCTGTGGAAAAGGAAGAAGCGTGTCTAGGTCTAAATGTCTGTTCTGGTTGATCCACACCTGACACTCCCGTAAATGGATCCTGCCCCGTTGAGTAAAATCTTGAATTGACGTTAGTGATCCTAGGAGAGACATCCAAGAGGGTAGTGATGTTGGAGGTGCACTTATGAGATGTAGAATCCTGTCTTTCAGGATTAACCAGCGATCCGGCGGAGGATAAATGTGAGACACTCGAGAATCCAGGATCGCCCCCAAAAACTGATTCTTGAAGTTGGAATTAACTCTGATTTGTCGAGATGCACAATTAGACCCAAATGAGTAAACACATGGATGATGAACTTGGTCTGCTTGATGAAAGTCTGAGTGATAATATTCCTTGCCAAAAAATCGTCCAGATATCCGTGAATGGCGATGTTCCAGCGATGGAGAAAGTTTAGTATAGGATTCATCATTACCGTGAAGAGCCAAGGTGCTAGGGATATTCCAAGCGGAAGGACTAGAAATTGAAATCTTCAGCCGTTGACTGCAAATCTGAGATTTTTGGGAGCGTGGATGAATCAGGATGTGCAGATATGCATCCTTCAGATCTATACTTATGAATTTTGAGTGAGGACGGATAAGAGTGCGAAGGTTGCTGAGCGATTCCATCTTGTATTTTGGTGGGTTTTGGAGGAATTCTTTCTTTAGAATCTTCAGGTCTATAATCATTCGCATCTCTTGTGTGTCTTTTTTGGGGCCAAGAAACACTGGAGAATAAAAACCCGGGAGGTATCGTGACTTGGGAGCTCTATTACCGCCCGTATCTCCAACAATTGATCTATTGCCTGAGTAGCGGCAGACAGGCGTGGTTCCTGTAGAAAAAATCTCCGTCCCGTGGGCTGGATCGTTACTGGAGGTAGCCTGTCCCATGGTAAAATAAAACCCCTTTTTACAATTGACAGGATCCAAGGGTCCCGTGGTGTGAAGCCCATTTCTGGTGTCCCCCGCCGTGATGTTGTTGGAACAAAACAAAACAAAAAACTTGTAAGGGTCTGAACCCTCCATTCTTGGGGACTAGGAAATAAGTGATTCCTAAATTCCTATAAATTCCTAGTTTTGCTGTCCTGTTGGAACCACCTCAGTAACGACTGGAGTATCTTGCCGACAGAGACGTCAGGCAGAAGGTAATGGATTCCAACAGTAGGCAGCATGTCGACTGCCAGTGCTTATCCATACTTGAAGTCCACTAATTTAAAAATGTTAGGATGAGGCCAAGCCAGTATGGACGTAATCTTTGAGTGCCACCCTTCGATATGGTTTGTCATACGAGGACTCGGTGTGTGGATGTGGTTCCACATTATTCTGCCATGGTGCCCCTCAACCCAGAACTCGGGCATGTAGTCTGCATACTACAGCACTCGGGCATGTCTGCATACTACAGCACACAGTGGTGTATTGTCCAGAGCTTGCAACCACACATCTTCAATGTGCTTCTCTGGTATCAAAGTTAAGGCTGCTGCTTGCTTTACAACCTTGTTGATTTCTGGTACTTGGGAGAAATATGCCTGCAACCCATACTTTTGAGTATTTCGCCATATACATTGTCCAGAATTAAAAAAAACCCCAATCCTTCAGTTCTGATCCTGAAAAGACATTTCTTACAGCATTTTGTGCAGTGACTTCAAAATCAGTAAACAGTCTTTCTGGGCTAAGATTGACATTGGTTCTAAGGGATGGTTTGTCTCTGACTCATATAAAAAAATTACATAAGTTGACTCCTTAGAAAACACCAGGAACCTGTTGTCTGCATCTCCGTGGAAAAGGAAGTCGTCTCTGGATCTGGTCTTGTTGTAGGAGGATCTGCGGTAATCGGAAAGAAAAAAGGACAGGAAAAAAGTCACAATCAATTTTATTAAATTCAATAAGTTATGTTAAAATCATCATGTTCATAAATCATACATTTATAATTTGATAAGTTCAAGCACTCCGTTATTTAATTAGATAATTTAAATTGATATAGTCCTCACAGCCTCCTACAAAAAACTTTGATCATTGGTGCTGTCTTGAAGGTGCCATCCATGTAGATGATGTCGGCTTCAGCAAGGCGCTTGAGGCATTCTGTAGTTCAAAAGGGTGCCAGTCAAATCGCCCCAGCGACAAAACGCCCCAGCAAATTTGGTCAAATCACCCCAGGGGGTTAGTCAAAATGCCCCAGTTTATTGAAATTGGTTATAAAAATATGCCATAAATGCATAGTTTTTGTCAACTTCCATATTATATTCTTCACATAATATTATGTAGTAATATTTCTGATAAATTTTCTATTAGCAAACTGATAAGAGCAAAAGTAATATTCATGTATAGACAACACTGTAATACCAATTATTTGGTAAAGAATTACAAGAATAAAATAAAAGCTTTGTATAATATGATGATTGTAAATGCATAGTTTTTTGTCAACAAATGGCAGGTCAAGGAGTTTATTGAAAACTTTGATGTAGTCAGATTTTGTTCGTGAGGACATTATTACAAAACTAATGGCATCATTTTCACATCCTGCTTTGACCACACGAAGGAATGCACTGAGAGGAGTTGGTAAAACGGCTGTTTAACCACCTTGAAGGTTCCATCCAAGAACCATTGTCTGGACTTGCTCAGTTGTAACAGCTGACGGTCTGTGGCGAGGATAAGGTGCCTATGTTCCTTGTTTGTCAGATCTGCTTTCAAGAAGCCCACAGGGATGAATGTGGTGGAAATCTGAAAATATAATTTCCTATGCACTATGGTTGTAACTGACTGCATCCTCCACAATAGTCGCAGCTGACTTGAATAACTCCCTTGTGGCGTCCTCTTTTATCTGATAAATTGAAATTTATCATAATGCAATATTTGTTTACCGGGGTATATATTGATACAAAAACATTGCCTTTATAACAAGGTTTAAAAAGGCGAATTAGATTGTGTTCAGACAGCCTCCTGGTCATAATTGGGATTAACGAGCAGTAGCTCTTGATGGTAATTGGATTAAGTAATTAAATGAACAATTAAGCTGTTTAGGCTTAAGAGGCTTACCTGGACCCTTTGTAACGGCAAGTTTCTTAGCGGTTGACAGTTTGATACATGGGAGTTAGCTCCCTTGTGTACGGATGCTTGAAGCGAGCGGAAAATATGAGTGCGATGTGGTTTGCGAATTTCCAAGTCATGGTGTACTCTGATACAGCATAATGTTGCACGTACTTTATAGTCAGTAGCACTAACAGAGCCAGCACGAACGGGTCAAACGTTGAAAGTCTGTGTCGTTACGATTGTAGACTGTTTGCCCGTGAGGGGATTGAACTTTGGTTTGCGATGATATGTGCAAATGCGAAATACAAATTGACTCGAATCTGGCCTCTCCTGTTCTTCGATCTTGGAAACATTACAGTGCAACATTATCAGAGGATACTGTGTCAATTCGAAGGACAAGAAGGTACGTTGGTGACATTTCGAAGGAATTCACTACATTCATCGCTACGATGACCGGTGTTATAAGAAATTGTTCCCTTGTCTGTATGGAATATGTGGCTTCAGAGACATTGCCGACTGTTGAAACCGATGCCAGGCCAATTTGTTCCCTATGAGATTTGACTCTTCACGTGCCATGACTTTGTTGTGACAACATCAAACCGGTGTCATGTAAAATAATTCCCTGTGAGATTATTTCATGTGTGATATGTACCTTGTGACATTGAAAGAACTGGTGCAAAGACTATTTGTCACTTGTGTAATATTCGTGCAGAAAACGGTGTCTATTGAATTTATTCCTTGTGAAATTTGTGAATGACATTCAAAATGTCTGACAGAATATCTGTAATTTCAAGCTTGCATGCTAAATCAAGTCAAAGATGTTGTGGAGGAACTTCAAGTAGAGATCAAATAGCGGCTGAAGTGGCAGCTTTAAAGGTGAAAATGAAGTATGCTGAGGTTGAAACAAAGAAGAAACTTGAACTTGAGAAACTTGAAGTACAGAAAGAGTTAGATATGGCTGAGGCCAGACTTAGCATCTTATCACAGACAGGTGAAGTGGACAAAACATTATTATATGGGAAGGACACATTTGTGGATCAAGAGATTGTGCCAGAGACACAGAATGCTCATGATTATGTACAAGATTATGTGAATAATAACCCATTATTACCAATTCAGACACTGATGGAAACACCCATCATTCCTGTGGCAGATAGGAAGAAAATGAATTCAGGAAATGGACCAAAGGCCTCAACAAGGCTTGACGCTTCGGCCCCAGAATTTGTGCCATCTCAAATTGTTACAGAATCTCCCGCTGAACTTGCAAACATTACAAGGATATTTGAGGACCAGATCAACCTTTCACGACTACCTACCCCTGAACCAGGTGTGTTTTGTGGAGACCCCTTAACATACCCTGCTTGGAAGGCAGCATTTGAGACTTTAATTGAGAGAAGATGTATCCCTTCAGGTGAACGTATTTATCACCTAAAGAGGTCTCTTACCAGAGCTGCTAAAGACTGTGTGGATGGTTTTATTCTATTGAATACTGACATTGCCTTTGAGAAAGCAAAGGAATTATTAGACAAGAGATTTGGAAACACGTTTGTTGTTGCGAATGCCCTTCGTAACAAACTCGAAACTTGGCCAAAGGTTGACGGTAGAGATGGCCTTGCTCTACAGAAGTTAACAGATTTTCTTTCACAGTGTGCAGTTGCTATGGATAGCATTAACAGAACAGGAAAATCCTGGACAAACTACCTGGATCGTTTATCGTTGGGGAAGAATTGTATCTCATTGGCGCAGAACCAAGTCAGCTTTCCCATCTTTCCATGAGTTTGTGAAGTTTCTCAAAGACGAGGCCGATATCGTATGTGATCCGGTGACGTCAGCCAAGCCAAGAACACAAAGGAAACCAAACTTTTTAGGAACCAGATGGAAATAGGTTCCAGTTCTACCGTTCAAACTTCTCCACAGGAGCTGCGACTATGCTTATGGAGTTCATATTTTGCTCAAAGGAGCATGATATAGAAAACTGTAAGGACTACACTGAAATTACACTCACAGAGCGAAAGGACTTTGCGGTAGAAAGAGGCATGTGCTTTGGATGCTTGAAAGTTTGGCACAGATCATGAGATTGTCCGAAGAGGAGCAAATGTAGGATTTGTGCTCGTTACCATCCTACATCTTTGCATGGAGACTATGTCCCAAGGAATTCTACTCCTAGAGAACCTGATGTTGCTTCAAATGGAAGAACCAATTCGAATGACAAACCAGCTATTGTTCATGCAAGTGGTCAAAACGGAACCAGTGATAAGTGCTCATTGATAGTACCGGTGTGGCTTTCCCACCATGACAATCCAGAGATAGAGACTTGTCTATGCTCTTCTCGATACCCAGTCTGATACCTCATTTGTGCTTAAACAGACCAGTGACGCTCTGAATGTGACTGGCCCCACTGTTCAACTGAAACTGTCCACCATGTCAGCTAAGGATGAACTTATCCAAAGCAATAAGATAAGTGGTTTGCAGGTGCGTGGATTTAACCGTTCGTCTAAAATTTTGCTTCCTGTAAGCTATTCAAGGGACATAATGCCTGCAAACAGGGATCATATCCAAACACCAGCTAAAGTTAAAAATTGGCCACATCTGTCACTGCTAGCAAGTGAATTAATCCCTTTGTGTGATGTCGAAGTTGGTCTCTTGATACAACTGTCCGCAAGCACTGACACCACGTCAGGTTATCTCCTCTGCAAACGGAAACACGCCATACGGCCAGTTGACAGACCTTGAATGGGGTGTAGTGGGAATCATTGATCAGGAGGAGATCCAGAACTGCGATGCGATAGGTTTCAGTCATCAAATTATGACCTATGAAATTCCACAAGAACTTCAGCGAACCTCTGCAGATGGAATCCATGTTG